CCTCAGCCAATGCAGGGTTTCTGCTCATCTCTGGGCTGCAGCCTGAGGACGAGGCTGACTATTACTGTATGATCCGGCACAATAGTGCTTCACACAGTGACACACACAGATTGGGAAGTGGCACAAAAACCTCGGTCTCTTCAGGGTCAGGTTCCATGACAATTTAAATTTATAAAAATAACTTGATATTCAAAAATTGTACTTGGAAGTACCTTCTGGTTCTGAGTGTCCCCACTCCTAATTTTTCAACCAGTGTTTCTGAAACCTCAGGAAAACTAAAAAGAAAATCATCCGTAATGACACTGATGTTGCCTGGTTATTCATGTCATGAAACCAAGGCCTGGGAAGCTGCCATTTTTCTCTGCAAATAAGGTAACTGAGCCTCTCCCAGCTTTCATCTTCATCAGAGCCCAGGAAGCATCCCAGCAGGTGATGTCCTCCACAGCATGGACTCTGCTCTCCCAGGGGTCAGAGCAGAGAACTTCCCATCCCTCCCAGGGTCCTGAGCTCAGAGCTGGCCAACGAGCCCTGTGTCCCAAGGACAACGCACTGAGATGTGAGACGCTGGTTGGGGACAGAGATCTGGGAGGAAATTCAGACACAGAGCTGGAAGCCTCACTGGGTACCTGAGCCTTCAGTTGTGAATTCAAGGACAGAGGTGTAATCCAAGGGGAATTTGGGGACCTAAAGCTAGGAACCTTCATATGGGACATGAGAGGGTGGGGGTCACTTCACACTTGCTGGGAAAATGCTAAGCTTGCTCCAGAGAAGGGGGTGAAGTGGGTCCATGGACGAGGCGCTCTTACAGCTGACACCACTCAGGACCATGGGGACTCCAGTGAGTGGGTTTCCTGAGACCACAAGCACTGACTGTGTCGTCCTCTTCTCTCAGACCACCTGGAGCTTTCTAACAATCCAGGGTGTGAGGTGAGCTATGAGCCATTAGGAGCAGAAACTCCTCAGTATGTGCCTGTGTCACTCCCTCAGTGAAGCTCTAGATGGACCCAGATCTGAGGTCACCTTCTCCTGTTCACGGAGCAGCCTGCCCATTGGAAGTTACCATGGTCCTAAGGACTGCTGGGCAGAGTCCCCACTTTATGACCTAGGACAGAAATGCGGGTCCTTTCATGGGTCTGAGCCTGATTCACACGTTCCAGTTTTGTTACCAAAACCTCTTTGATCATCTTGGGCTCCAGCTTGAGTACAAAGATGATGACCACTGTTGTAGAGGTGAACACAACCCCAGCACCACAAGGAGCTCCTGTCCATGGCGACATGTGATAAAATCTGTCCTCCACTCCCCAGTCTGATCCATCACTATGCTGTCCCCTGCCTGTGGCCAACACCTGCTCAGGTTTTGGCTTCTGCTGTCACTTGTGCTACTAAAACTAGAGGGCTTCGTGCTCTAAACACTATCTTTATGGGGTCAACGAAAATATCAAATTTGGAGATATCAGTCTCCCAATGCAATGACTTTTTTTTTCAGAAGCAAAATATCCCCATAGTCGCTGCTTGTGAATGACAAGAAGACAGACCAGTGGGTTTCTCCCAGGAGAACCAGGTGGCCCTGTGCACAGCCTCTTATATGGTCCTTGGTACCAGCTGGGGCTTTATTAATAGTTCCCTGAGCTCTAAAACCTTAAAAATACAGAGTTTCTCTCATGCACCTTATTGAGAGCTTTCAGGAGCCCCTGAATTCCCAGGTACTGGGCTATGTTCTCTTCACTGAGCAGCTCCGAACAGACTGATTATCAAGCAAGATGTCCAAATGGCAGATAAACATGTGAAAAGACGTTTCACATAATAGGTCTTCAGGGCACTACAGATTTCAACAATAAGATGCCACTAGGCTCCCACTAGAATGGCTCAAACTCAGTACACTGACCACATAGATGCTGCCCTCACTGTGGGGCAGGAGGGACCCCCATTCATGCTGCTGGAAATCAAATGTCGCGGCCACTTTTGAAGACACTTTGGCAGTTTCTTACAAAGCTAAACACATGCATATGATAAAATACAAAAACTGCACTCATAGGTATTTACCTAAATCAGTCATTGTGTCCTTACATGATTATGCACATAAAGTTTTTAGTTCCTTCATTCATGATTGTTAAAATCGAAAAGCAAAATACATGTCCTTCCACAGGTGAATGGATAAACAAACTCTCCTTCATCTACACAATAGAATGCTATGAACAACAAATGAAATGAGTGATCAGACCACAGAAAGACATGGAGGAACTAACACACATATTTCTAAGTGAAAGAAGCCGATGTGAAAAGGCTGGAACTGTGAGGGGTGCAGGATGGGAGTGCAGGAACTTGAGGGGTGCAGGATGGGGGAAGAAACAGGAGCCCTGAGGGGTGTAGGATGGGGGTGGGCAGGAGCCCTGAGCACCGAATTCATCCCAGTGTCACCATGTCTGCTGCATCCACCAGGGGTGCCGATGTTTCCCCAGTTCCTGAGCTGGGAGTCCTCACCCCCTGCCTCTTCCAGGTTTCCTGTGTCATCCTTGGGGTGAAGCCCTCCTCACTCCTATGGTCTCTTTTTCTCAGCGGGAGCCCTGGAATGGGTCCAAGCAAGGTCTTGCACAGCTTCCAGAAAGTGAAAGATTTATATAGAGACGTCCCAGTCTCATGGTCAGAGTGACATATGAGAAGTTTGAGGGGTCAGGCCTGGCTGGGGGCTCAGGAAGTAGAGTTTGAGGGCATCTCCTCTATTTCATGGGCTCCCCTTCTCAGCTTTTTCAATCAATGCACAGGTGATGCCTGAAGTGAATTCTGTAGGGCACCTGGATATCAACTGGGAGGATGGCCTCTCTATCCTCCCTGGGAACCGCGGCTGTCCTATCCTCACTGATCTCACTCCCTCTTGCAGGATCTTGGGCTGAGGTTGTGCTGATTCAGCCCCACTCTGTGTTGGGTCTCCAGGGAAGAAGGCCACCATTGCCTGTACCTACAACAGCAGGGACTCTGAAGACAGATACGTGCACTGGTACCAACAGTACCCAGGCAGTGACCATCACCATCATGATCTACACATATCATGACAAGAAAAGACTCTCTTAGCTTTCTGATGTGTTCTCTGGCTTCATCAACAGCTCCTCCAGCAGCGCCTACTTGAGCATCTCTGGGCTGCAGCCTAAGGGTGAGGCCAACTGCTACTGTCTGTCTTGATAACACAACTACAAACGCAATGCTCTCAGGGAAGTGAGACCAAAACTCCCCAGAGCTTCCCTGTCCTGGGTCTGCCCTCAGCCTGACCCCACCAGGGAGCATGCTCTTGCCTGTCTCCTGCTGGAATATTTGTGCTGAGATTGTAGGTTTAGGAGTCCCTCTATTGTCTTTCCAAATCCTCTCCTCCACAGCCCAAGTCTTTATGGATGATCTCCTATTTCCTTCACAATCACATCATGGAGGTGATATATTTCAGAATAGACTCTCTGAGCCTCAACACTGCTGACAATGGGACTGGGGACATTGCTTGGGGAGGGGACTGTTCTGTGTCTTTGGGACATTTGGAAACATCCTCTTCAATCTACACATCACATGGGAGTTTTGCCTTCTCTTTAAGTCAGGATACACAGAAACACCTCCAGACTTTTCTAAGTATTCCCTGCCGGGGGGTGGGGACACATCACCCCAATATGAGAACCACTGGGTTTAAAGGACATGTTCTCAGCTATTAGGGGGCCTTTGGCTTGAGTCCTGTTTATGCCATTCAGGTCAATGGAGACTAGATGTGTGCTCTCTCTGTGCTTCTGTGTTCCCATCTGTTAGACAAAACAGTTACATGGACTCACATGACATCACAGTGCCAAGGGCCCAATCACATTGACTCTCTCATCAACCAGAGGGCAGGATAGAGTTTTAAAACCAGACTATGTTTGCATTTAAAATTTTGGAATTGTATGCAAATCACATGAGTGTGTGTCAGCTGAATCTTTGTTTATTTTCTGAGGGACGATTTTTCAAGCATGGGATACAGAGATGGACAAAGATATAAGAAGGTCTGTAGTCTTGGATTCTGTGCTTCTGTATGGGTCCGAGAGAACAGACAAGAGCAGGAGGTGCATGTGAAGTGAATTCTGAGGACAGAAGACATGAGCAAATGAACTGCCTAGTGCAAGGTAGTTGTTTGTAGGTCTTCTCACATTACACGTAACTTGGAGTCTCTATGATCATCAGGTGTCACAGGACACTAAATACAGAGCTCACAATCCATCATGTGATCAATGAAATTTAATATTGAACTCCTCAGCCGAGCGTCCCATAGAGGTCCCTGTTGGGAAAACTCATGGAGGAAGAATGACAGGTTGGAAATCTTTGTGTGAAAAAGACAGGACTTTGCGCTGGGGACGTGAGTGATGGAAGCCATTGAATAATTGTCTGAAGATGGGTGTACTGGTCTGGGCTTCCTTCTACTCATATGTCATCCACGAACCTCATGGCTCCACACATAGGATGCCTTGTTCCTTCTTCATTCCTTCAATTGGTACAATAATTGATTAACAATTCGGGTGATTATAACACACATGCATTTAAGTGAGAATAGTTAAAATCCATACTTTTATGTGCAAGAGTTTGGGGCCATTACATGCACATTCATGCTAAAGCAGATACTGCTGAAGGGATATGGCGGGTAGATGTGTATCCACAGTCACTGAGGGAGTAGGATCAGAGATACAGAGGATATGAATTAAACAAAAGCAGCCCTATTGATGACGGTTGTTGTGGGATGATAGGGGCATGCAGATCTGTGAACTATTCTCTACAGTTTTGGTAATTTCAATATTGTCATATTTCATTCTCCACTCCTGTCATGATGGGTGTATATGCTGCTATTAAGAGCCCCTCAAATGTGCCCAGATGTGTGTTTTCACTGAGATCTCAAGTTTAAGGCCGTCTTCTTCCAGCAGACAGAGGAGGAGTTGGCTGGGAGGCTGAGAAGGGACAGGAATCCAGGCTGTTGAAGTAACAGGAACTTGAGGGAAGCTGGAGGCCTGAGGACAAGGGGAGGGGCTTGAGGTGGGTGTGGAGTGGGCGGGGCCAGGCCATGCAGGCTTCAGAAAAGAGCAGAGGAGGTGGGGTTTTATACAAACAATAGTGAGGACTCACTGAAGGGCTTTAAGCAGAGGCTGACCTTTCTGAGCTGAATGAGAAAGGTCCCTCTGAGTGTCTTGAGGAGAGAGAGCCTGAGGGAAGTGGGTGATCCTGGTCCCAGGAATTGACTGGACTGTCCTGTGAGTCTAGAAGTTTGGGGACCATTAGACCATTTGCACAGTTAAAGCAGAGTTGGTTACAGAGCACTGCGAGGGAGTGATGATTTCTTCATTCAACTGCCCAGACATTCACCACATCTGCAAACACATCACAATTTCACATTTAGCTTGTTACTAAAATAATACAATGAGTAAGGAAATATAGGTAGGGAAAATTTTGTTTAAAATATAAACAAATTTCAGTAAAAAAAAAACTACTGACAAGAAACATGTGACACAGATCAACAGAATGCTACAAACATAAAAAAATGGAGTCAATTCCTAAAATAAAGAAGCACACTACACTCTCCACTAGTAAATGTGAAGTCTATCAAAGTCATTATTATTATTTTTACTAATCACTAAATAAAATCTGATGTCTGTGAACACTATAAATGCATCACATGACTTGAAATGTTTGCTGCCTGGTCCTCCTGTGAATATGCCCCTGAATGTATTGCTGGAAAACTCCCTTTCTACATTATTTCCCTGACCGAACCCTATGAGCCCTTCAAACCGAATCAACTGTCGTGTCATCTATGAGGTTGGACAAGAAGCTAATTATGCATTTACTTTTGCAATATCTTCACTGGTGTTGAAACAATATTTACTTGTTTTTTAGGTACACTTTTTCACCTCCCCTGATGGAGTCTTGTCCTTGGGAGTGAAACGCTACATTAATCGCTACAATCACCAGAATCACAGTATCTGGGAACAAGACCATTCATGTGTGTGAATAGAGACAGTGACCTGCTGAGCTGCACAAATGAGCTGGGCTCTCAAGGCTTTTAGCCATGGGGAAGCCTGTGTCCTGTGACCAGCAGGAGAGGCTGTGCGATGGCGCTGTAGTCCCTACACAGCTGTCAATGAGGATCATTTACTGAAAGGAGCCTGGGCCTGGGGGCTGGGCCCTGTGCTCACTGATGGGGGCTCAGCAGCTGTGTCTTCTCATGCCTGGCAGAGTCCCCTGAGCAGGGACCTTTGTGTGGTCTCAGCAGGTGCTTCCTCCAAGGGCTCTAAAAAGAAAGACAGCAGCCTCTGTCCTCCTCAGCCTGAGGTGTGAGGTGAACTCTAGCACCAGGATTTAAGGAGGGGCTGAGCAGTCACTGGATGGACACAAATTTACATGAACATCCCCTTCTCTGGCAGAGGGTGGAGAAGAAAAGGGGGCCTGGGGCAGCCCAGCCCCACTGTGGGTCAGGGGCTGTGTGCACATGGCCTGCACCCCTGTCCTCCTCGTATTTCTCTCTCACTGCACAGGTGGGGACAGGCCTCTGGGAACAGGCCTTAGTTACCAATTTCAGTCCTTTCATGTTCAGTTTCCTAGAAAACTCTACCCTGGTCCCTGCCCCATGTCCCATTTGTGTCTGTGTTTGCAGGTTCCCTCTCCCAGCCTGTGCTGACTCAGGCCCCTCCCTCTCTGCATCTCTGGGAGCATCAGCCAGACTCACCTGCACCCTGAGCAGTGATGTTAATGTGCGCACCTATACCAAATTCTGGTTTCAGCAGAAGCCAGGGAGCCCACCCAGATGTCTCCTGGGGTTTCAATCAGACTCAGGTAAGTACCAGGGTTCTGGTGTCTCCAGATGCTTTTCTGGATCCAAAGACACCTTGGCCAATGCAGGACTTCTGCTCATCTCTGGGCTGCAGCCTGAGGACAAAGCTGACTAGTACTGTCAGATCTGGCCCAGTATTGTTGTCACAGTGACACACACAGATGGGGAAGTGAGACATATCCTCAGCCTGCTCAGGGTACTGGGCTATGACTCTCCTACAATTTGAAATAACTTGAATGTACACTAATTATAGTTGGATGTAGCTTCTAGATCAAAATGTCCTTTTGTCCAGGTTCTTATTTAACAGCTCTGAGCTGTCTGGAAAGTAAAATAATAACAAGAAACTTATGATGGTATGGAAAAGTTGCCTGGTGATCCAAGTTTTAAATATCAGAGTTTGTTAGACTGTCTATTTTTCTCTTTAAAAACCTTCCCTAGTTTTTTGTTGTTGTTGTTCAGATCTCAAGATCATCCCAGCAGATAGGCCGTCCTCCACAGCACAGACTCTGGTCTCCTAGGGATCAGAGCAGAGACCTTCTCATCCCTCCCAGGATCCTGAGCTCAGGGCTGGCTGAGGAGCCCAGTGTCCCAGGGATGAAGCACTAAGATGTGAGATGCTGGGTGAAGACACAGGCCCGAGAGGAGTTCCAGGCACAGAGCTGGCCTGCGACCCTCACTGGTACCTGAGACTTTCGTTGTGAAATCCGGGAGGTGGTGGTTAAGCAAGGGAGCGGAGGATTTGGGACCTAAGGGCAACACACCTCTTTGTGAAACATGAGAGAGTGACAGTGATTCTCTACCATTACTGGGAAATGTGAACCTGCTCCAGGCAAGGAAGTGAAGTGGGTCTCTGGATGAGATGCTCTTATAGCTGACACCACTCAGGACCATGGGAACGCCCGTGAGTGGGTTTCCTGAGACCACAGGCACTGGCTGTGTCCTCCTCTCCTCTGAGACCCAACTAGAGCTTCCTAACAATCCAAGATGAGGTGTGAGCTGTGGGACATCAGGTGCAGGAACTCCCCAATATGTGATTGGGTTGCTCCCCTCTGAGCTCTTGATGGACTCAGGTCAGAGGCCACTTTCTCCTGCACAGGGAGCAGCAGGCACATTGGGGTTACCATGGCAATCGTCCCAAGAGCTCCCAGGCAGATCATTTACCCACCTTGTGACCAAGGACAGAGGTGACTGACACTCAGGGGTGCTGCCCTCTTCTCTGGCTCCTGGTTTGTGTATGGCCTCCTTGACCACCTTTGGTCTCTAGACTGAGGAGGAGGCTGACTATCACTGTCACATGACTGAATAAACACACTGCCACAAAGAACTCCCATGCCACGGGGAAGAGTGGTAAATACCTGCCCTCTCTCTTCCATGACCCACCTTTGCCTTGTCCTTGATTATGACCAACATCTGCTGAGGTTTTGGCTTCTGCTGTCACATGGTCTCAAGTTATTGCCTTGGTATGTCTCTAGGGGTTAATGAAAATATCTGCTGTTATTACTGGCATTCCAATTGAAACAGAATGCCTTTGTGCCCACATACAGAGTATCCCTCAGAGTTGCTGGGTGTGGTGACAAGAGAAGTCCAGCATCTGTGACCTGGGTGACCCAGGTGCCCAGCCTGTCCCTGCTCCCAGCCTGGAATTTGCTCATTCTCTGAACAGAGATTACCCTCTGAGGAGCTCCTGATCCCCAGGTACTGGGAGACCCCTCCCCATTAAGGATGTGGCTCTCAGACCCACCATTTTCTCACTTTCTCCACTTTAACCCCATGACCGCTCATATTTTCCCTTTGTGGATCTTCGTTTGCAATGATATTGGATAAATATCAACTCTTTGGACCCTATAGCTCATAAATTCAACCCGCATTAAAACCACCGAGCTCTTCACAACTGAACTTTCTCAGGGCTAATGTGGGTTGGGGAACAGACATGAGGGTTTCTTAGGCCATGGATGGAGGAAGAACCTTTAAAAAGAGATGAGAGGTCATTTATAGTAATTTCTTTTCCATATTGTGTTGAGAAAAATTACAAAACTAGACAAAAATTGTTCATCAGAGTAGAAAAATAATATATATATATTTTTTTCAAGGACAAATTCAAGGGTAAAAGAGAACGCACAGAAGAAGTCTACAATAAAACATGTTTTTTCCCTAACACAATTATATTCTCTTGGCCAAGACATGGATAAAAAGCGAAGAAATGTGAAATGTGGACCTGGGAACAAAACAGGAACCCCTAATAAGAAATAAGTATATACATGTGTATGGGTCAGCCAAGTAGAACTATTATCAGGAGTGAACTAACAGGGTGTTTTGGGGGAACTTTAATCCTGGATCTTGGTAA